AAACCAATGAATATGAAGGAAGAGTTACGCATCTAGCGAAGATAATGAACTTCATACTTTTATGCTTTTTCCAATAAATCATACATTTTATGATGTGCACCTCGTACTCCTATGATTTAGCTGCTCTATCGATTTAGTATAGGCGTGGGCGTCTCGTATGCTCGTATATCTTTGTATCCTTGTGACACAGAGCCATCGATAAATGCTTATGGAATTTAGATCGTGTGATGATTTTATTAAGGATAATGATGCTCTGTCCACTTAACAATGTATTAATGCTAAAGATTATCAAAAGTTTTTAAAACGTAAATTTATTAGCTTTTCATTTGGAAGGGAAAAATTTGCATTGTTAAAATGCATCGAAACATTTTTCTTTCCATGTTGACGTCGCAAATCATTATCGCAAGCGGGCCAAGTACAGACTTGCTAAGTCAACCGCTACTTAATTAATTGAAGAAATTATTATAAAGTAAAATTAATAACTAAATATCTATCAGCATTACTTGTCCTTATATATATACTTTTTTTTTACTGCTTGCACTCCTATAGCGGGAAATGTGCGTAATCAATATTCGGCGCGAGAGGGCGCACAAAAGAAAAATGTATTTTTTACGAGGCAATAAATATCGTTTTCTAAAAAGAAATGAGCTTTCTTATAAGTGTGCAATAATATCCATGGGATCTTGCGGTAAGCATGCAATCGAAGCATTATGTAGCTGAGAAGAGCGCTCAATAATAAATATTCGCAATGATTGCAGCCACGTGCCCAAGCAATTAAGATAACGCAAGGAGAATAAGAGAGTAGAGAAAGAAATAGTTACTACTTATCCACGATTTATAATGCTTCGTGACAGCAGTGGCGTTTGTTGCACTTGTTGGTAATGTACCCGCATATTTACATAGATAGTTAAAGGGTAGGGAGCGCCTAATATAAACATCGACCATAGAGCAACTAAGGCTAGGCGATGACTCTTGAGCTTTTCTCACCCATAACGTCTATTTTTGCGCGCGGGTGTAAATCGTCGACTGAACGTGTAAGGGAAGCTTTTTGAAAATATGCATGTAAGTATATTTAGCGGAGCTTTACTTCGGTTGCTCGGATGATAATGAATTGTAGGTGACTTTTCTCCTTCCCCTTTTGGCGCTTATTATTATGCTCTTCCTTCCGCGGTCGAAGGAAATTTTTAAGAAAAGGGTAAAAAAAAATGTCACTTTTTTTTGGCTTCACCATTAGTAGCTGCATATTTCATTATTTCGTCCAATTTACTTTTATCGGGTTTAATACATTTTTACATACATCTAAGACTTTTGGGTACATATTATATAGTAAAGATATTTCGACTGTTTTTCATGCTTTGAACATTCACTGATGAAGCTGTGCATTGGCTCATTTTTAATAACTTTTTTTTTTCATCTTTTTATATATATATATATATATATATATTTAACTAGGGACGGAATATTATAAATTAGAATTTCTTCATTTATCAGAATTCAGCATTATTGTTACTTTAAATAATTTTAAAAATGTATTAAATTAATAATGTATGTATTAAATTTAAAACTTGCATATAAATCAAATAATATAACATTTTAATTATATATCCTGTATAATAGCTTTTTCTGTCTTCCAGTCTTCCATTATTACTCGATCACTTCAAACAATGTAAACCAAGTCTAAACTCAATAACTCGCGAATCGTGTTATCTAAGATAGATACAATTACCGGCTTAATTCCGACAGCCAATACAGTTTTCAAACAATTCCGCATGCAAATAGATACGAAGAAACCCAGTCGTATGTTCGAAATCGTTAATACACGTAAAATTGGCCCAGTTTCTATAGTGCTGAGGAGAAAATACTATTCTCTCTCTTGGTAATCTTCACTCTCCGTTAACATAATTATTTCCACAATACATGTAGTAGGCATATTAACGAAGCATCCTGATTCTAATCTGAGGTGGAAGGTTAATCGGAGGATATGCAAATATATAGTTGTTGCCATACATGAGCCCTATTTTGTCAATTCGATAACTTTACATTTGCAAATACTTGTTTATATCAGTTGATTCAATCTGATATAGAGTATAATTTACAATTTCGTTTCGACGAAAACATTTTGCTCGTTAATATTTTAGTTCATTTAATTACTTGTACAAATTATTTAAATACATTTATGCGAAAATGTTCATAACATAAACAAAAATCTTGACGTGTTTCAAAATCATGAGAATTGAATATCAACAAATTGTTAAGATACTTTAAATAATTAAACAATAGTTTACAATATATATATATATATATATATATATATATATATATGAAGAGTGTATCGTAACAGTACAGTACTTACATTTCATGAATATATGAAATTTGGAACTCATATTCTCATACTATATTATTATGGAGAAAATTTTCAATCGCTTAAGCTATTTTAGTACATTATTTGACCTCTTATTATTAAAGCAAACTTCAACTGACAATCATAATCTTGTAAACCGTTGCAAATATGAAAAATAAGAAAAGTAAATTAATTACTTTCAAATTTACTCCATGATTATAACAGCATTTCATTTTGTACAAATATTTTTTAAAAGAAATACAATTTTCTTACCTACAATAAACTGAAACATAATTATCTATAAATTTTGGTCGATAAACGAGAACATATACATCATAATTATTATATTTATAAAAGGAATAATAAATTCATCATTCAAAATGATTAGCATTTATCTTTTTTTATTTTGATATACTATTTTGTATAAATTCTACACAGTTGGCAATTCATAATATTATTGCATAAACATTATGAATGAATTTATGATGTACATAGTAACTGATTGTATTGCATAATAAGTTGACATAATACTAACCATATGAAATTTCATCTTCATTATTGCTAATAAAAAAATTCTATTTATAACATACGGTTAATGCTCAAATTATGACTTTCCTTCTTTTTATATATTTTATTCAAAGTTATTTTTTTGTATATATTATTTACATTAGTCGATACAGAATTATCATGAACAAATTCAATTATTTCTTTTGGTATTATGGTTATAAATTTTTAAATCACTATTTTAATTTATTTAAAAAGTATTTATATAAATTTATTTATATAAATTTTCGTGATTTTTGAAACACTCGAAAAATTCACGAATTTAAAACAAAAGTATGAAACTGAAGTAAGAATATTGAGAAATAAATTATAGAATTAAATTATTATTATTAAAAAATTTTCAATTTTTAATAGTTTGTAATACCTTCAGTTTTCTCACTTCTTTATGCCACACTCTTTGTTTGTAAAAATGATTGTATTATTAATTAGGTTAATTATACAAGTTGTATTGTATTATATTGTAAATATATTTAGACCATTATTCAATTATTTTCCCTTTGATAATGAAATAACAATAATGAAATTTATGAATCAATTACACAACGTAGTATATACTCGTTAATATGCAGGTTATATATTAAAAAAATAATACACTTCATACAATACACTTGTATATATAATGGAAGTTATTAAAACGAAATAAATATTAAAACGTTTAATTGTAAAAATATAAAACAAAATATAACTACATAAGTATTGATTTATTCATTGATACGTTAAATTTGTATGGATTACGTTGAAAATTTCCTAACACAGCATTTATTTATTTATATAATCATTTTAAAACATGTGTAACAAAACTTCTTAAATTCAGAATTTCTATCTCTTGAGAATAAAGTAACATCCTTATGGAAATATTTAAAATTTTTCTATTATTAGAGTGTCAAGTATGTTTAAACACGAATTAAAATTCCAGAAATATCGCTAAGTATAATTCAACTATAATATAAAGAGTAAAAATTACAGAGAAATCTAATTTCTTTTAAATTCAATCGAACTTCAACTTTACAATCTTTAATAATGTTATAATAAAAATATGTGTACAAGATAGAAAAGTACGAATTATAAAGTAGACTATTAATATATGGGCTTTCTTATTGATAAAACTGAAATTATTATTAATGTACAGACACTATATATATATATATATATATATATATATGTATGTATATATAATTATATAATTCAATTTTACATCTATAAAATCATAATATACAAAAAGGGTAGTATATCAGAATATTCGAATGAAAATTTATTAAAATATATTTAGGAAATCGTTTTCGATCCAAGTGCTGGTGAAAAGAGCTGATAATTGTATGGAATCTTGTACTATATATACAATTTATGTTATATTTGTTTAAATAAATTATTTATTGTTTTTTGATGGTCAATGCTAGGTAACTCTTTCGCAATACTTCGGAAAATCTATAAATCAATTGTTTATAAAAATTTTATATCATTGAAAACCATTCAATGCTTTAAAAAGAAGCTCTTTTTATATTAACATGAATTTATACTTGTCAAAGCATAATACCAAATGATTCATAAAAGATGCTTCCGTTCAAAACTCAAATGTGATTAAAAGCAAATACTGCAAAGTAATTTCAGCGAATTACAAATATATCATTATAAGCATATGTTTCTCAATAAATATGACGTCAATTGTGCAGGACATCAAATGTGTAATAAATATTATTATATTGAAATAATGCAAATCTATTAATCGGTATGAATTAAATTCTTCAATTAATAATACGCGTTTATTTCCTATAGTTGTATACATTTGCGACACGTCGTAACTCATTTATCCAATCCACATGTCATAAATAAAATTTTATGAATTTTATTTCCACATTCCTGTAATAATTAAATGGCTTCATCTCGAGATGACCACTCAACAGCAATTTAACTATATGCCTCCAATAATTGATTTACCGTCAACGAATTAATCTCTTCACATTATACATAAACACATTTTACATAAAATTGTAAATTAGCTAGATTTACGACGCAAGCAAATGTCTTATCGCGTGGGTCACTTTGTCGGAGTCAGCGAAAGTAAAATGGAAATAGATAAAAGTGAATCGAATCTCACCTCGTGGAATGATCGACGAAGGAGCCGCCGTCAAGTAGCCTCAGTTTGGCGAACAGCACGGCACTGACGAAAGGCACCGCGGTCAGCTCCTCGAGGCCGACTTCCACGGAGAATTTATACTTCTTCTTCTTCATCATGAAAGCCATATTACAATGAACGCCTCATGAATGGCTAAGATTCGTGCCTCCACAAGCACCGCCACTGCTGCCGCCACCGCCACCGTCACCGCCTCCTCCCCCCAAACAATCAACTTCTCGCCCGTACTCTTTCGGCGGCCCGCGATAAGTCGAGACAATCGCAGTCGTAGCTCACAGCTCGTATCGTTAGTGCGGAGAGGGAGAGTAATAAGGTAGGAGGGCCACGAAAGAAGACCAATGTCTAACCGAGTTATATGCTCTTGGTAGACTCGTGGAACTCACTTTCACAACATCGTCCTCGCTCGTTTATCGCGTGAAAGAAAAAAAAACAAGAAAAATAGGAGAAAAAACTGTCTCAGCTTCCTCGGACCGTTAATATTCCCGGCGACAATTCGAGACGTAAATCCGTACGAACTGAGCGTCTTCACCGGCTGCAACCCTCGTCATAGCGCTGCTGAGGACGGCCAATCATCCTGCAATCAAGCATAATTAATTTAATTAATTAATGTGCGAGCAAAAAAGGACTCTGCTTAAATGATTATTAAGGTTATATTGATGAACGAAGGGGAGTTTGTTGGCTATGGTTACCCGCTTTCCACTAGCTACTGCCTGTATTGTCTATTTATTTTAATGCCGGGAACTTGCCTAGACGTAAATAATATTCGTCAAAATGCATTCAAAACGGAATCTAGCTAATGGCGGAAATACTACAATGGTAACATTTACGTAGAAGTGTATCATTGAAAATTTATACGTTCAAATATAATTTAAAAATCTTCATGTTATTATTTTAATGAGTTATTTTAATACAAAGATATATGTGTGGATGTGCGCGCACGCACGCACGCGTGTGTGTATACAAGCACGTATGTACGTGTACATATATATATATATATATATATATATATATGTGTGCGTGTATGTATGTATCTTATTGTTTTAATTAGCCATTGAATGGCAAAAGTAAAGCCATTGAAAAATTTGCAAAATAGTATAGAAATGTTTTTAATTTATGTAAGACTGCTTATTAATTTCAAGAGAATTCTTACAACACGAACAAACAATATTAATTTTCAATGAAACCTGACATTTCACATAATTTTATGAGAACTATCTTCAGAAGAAATACATGGCTAAGTCTTAATGAAAAAATTCTTTAAATTTTTCCTAGTTAGAAAGTCTTTATTACTTTTCAAGTGAGTTTTTCCTTCAAATAAATGAAAATTTTTTTAAAAGATTTAACGCATAAACAAGAACTATGCAGATAAAAATTTTGAATAAAAAATGTATGAAAAGACAATTACATCTTTCAAATTAAATATTTATAAATTTCGGTTTGCTTAAAGACATTCAAAGCTTTTATCATTAATATTAATTTGTATTCCGATATTATCTATTAATACCATTATTATTTATAAATACTACTCAATCGACTTAAAGATTAATTTAAAAAATATATATATATATATATATATATATATATATATATGTAAAACCACGACCACATAATAAATTATAAAGTTTATTCTCAGATTGTATTAAATTGCTGTAAATGATAACAATCAACGATAAACATAAAAAAATTTTAAGTTAATAAATTGAAGTTCCAAAACTTTCTGACACCTTCTAGTTTCAAGACACAAAGAGATAAAAATATAATTAAGTGGAATCAAGTGACAGTCGTTCCACAAAGCAAACGTATAAGCATGGTTATCTATTTTGCAACACACTGAATAAAGCAGATAAAGAACAAGTTAAAGAGCATTATACGCAGAGAAAAAGTTCGCATCGAGAGCGAAACCTGAGTGACTCTTTTCTTTTTAGAAGCTAGCGGCCGGTAATACATATATATATGGTACATCGCGAACTCAAAAGTACAATAGTAAAAGAAGGGAAGCTATGAAACTAACGATTAAAATTGTATGAAAGTAAGCGTCGAGTGAAAATACAAATTCAAAAGTGCTTATGGATCCTGACCAACAATCAATAAATATTATGTAAAAAAATAAAATTGATTAAATTTCCAATTTGGCAATGCTGTTCTTTGCTATGCCCGTGTAATTTTTCAGGGAAAAACTCATTTTATACCATTGAGAGCTTAACGACAATATTTCGCTATAAAATATAAATTTGTTTCTCTAATTATGTCATTAGAGTAGAAAATTTATTCATGCCTAATAATTATTTGTTAAGCAATAATAATTTATACCTAAAAATAGGATGTCTTTTAATCTTTATTTCATTTTTCTTTTCTTTTCTTTTTTATTGACAAATATATTTTGTTTTCGTTTTAATTTAAAATATGATTGATCAATCTACAAATATTTTTTATCGTGACATTTAACTCGTTAGAAAAAAAGCCAGAAATATCTCGATAAACCGGATTATAACATCGTATTTGTATAAAAGAAAAAAAACTTCAAATACTGCACTGAGCGACTTTTTAACTCTCTTTCGACTCTCTCTCTCTCTCTCTCTCTATATATATATATATATATATCTTGTTTATAACGTTTCTACGGCCATTCTTGAAACTGCACACGCATATGTATATGTGCACATTTACAAGCACCTTCATGAGCAATGTAATTAATTCCACAAAACATTTGTAATTTACCGTTAACATAAATCATGATTATGCCCCGTAAGATCTGATAATCGCGTATAAATTTTAGCAAGAAAAAAATTTATATTCAAATTAAAAAATAAAATTTTTCTATACAATCTTTAAAAATGCGAATATATATCTAAATGATAAAAATTAATTAAATTCTCGTATAAATGTCGGCTTATCTATCTTAATAACTCAAGCAACTATACATAATCAAGTTTATTAAATGTAATTGAAAAAATAAGACTATCGTAATAGTCATGGGACTTTTAAAAAAATAAATACTTGTCTGAAAATCTAATAACAGAGTAAAATATATTATGTTCTGTGGTACAAATGTAATATCACATTCACAAAAGAAAATTAAAATAAACTATATTAAAGGATTACCGATGTATAATCATTTATAATAAAAAATCGCTTTTGAACAATATTGTCACTTGCAAAATATTTACATAAAATACTGACTAAATAATGATGAACTTATAAAGATAAAAATAAAATATTTTTACTCGGCGTAACTGGATTTCAAAATTTTAAATGAATTTTCCCAAAATAGCTTTTTGTATGTCGATCAGAATATATATTTCTTAAAAACTACTGATCTGTCTTTTCGTAATTTTATTCCGAATTTGAAAATACAAAGTTATAGCGAACAATCTTCAACTATTTATTGTAATATAATTTTTTCATTATATCAGTTATCAATGAAATAAGCCACTTTGACTTATAATATAAAACTTTTGCAAATATCACCGATTAAAGATAGAGAAAATATTTAAATTATTCTATATTAAATGATGACACTAATTTAATTTTGCTCTAATACAAATATCCCGTGTATTTCAAAATATTTAATAAAGAAATATGTAATTTATATATTTCAATTTTAAGTAAATACATATTCTATGTTTATGAAGAAAAAAAAAATTCGAATTTTATATTATTCGAACACCAATAATTCTTCCTGAATAGTTTTATGTAAAAGAAAATTATTTCATACATACACTTGAACATTAATTTTTTTTTTTTTTTTTTTTTTTTTTTTTTTTCATTACAATGATTAATAATCTATTATTAATAATGACAAATGTAACATATTGAATAGCATAATAACAGCAATATACGATATTTTTTATAAAGATATAATAGTTTATGAAAAATAAATTATGAATATTTTTTTTACTATTGTAATTAGCGCTATGGACTAAGTTTAATGGAAGGAAATATAGAAAAATTAATTTGATAGGACAAACAAATGTGATAACTAGATAAATACATTTTTAAAAAATAGAGCAAAACTCTCGTGATTGCAAGTCGTTAACACAATAATTGTTTTACAAAAGTGTCCATTATAAATATTAGAGTAGCACTGGTTGCTATAAATCGTTTCAATAACATTCCGCAGCTAATAGTTAATCGCACGATAAGAGCGTATTTTAGAATTTTATTATTTATCGATAAAAATATATAATCCAGGGCTCTATAGAAAAATATCATTATTGAAAGCGGTTAAACAAATATTTGCAACAGCAGTTGTACGTATAAAATCTGTGATACATTTAATCTGTTTAAAAATACTAAAAGTAAATAATAGGCAAACTATTGATAAACGTGGCATTGGCTATTTTTCACTTCACTCTTTTTAGAAAAATGTGAATAGAAGCCCAGAGTTTTAAAAGAAAGATCGGCACGCAGCATGAAAAACCAGCCGTTTTCCGATTTGAAAGTAGTCGCATATCTAAAGACGTGCTTTAGTGATAGCCGAGCACTATAAAAGTATTGGCTGCCAGAAATAAAGAAAGTCAGTAATGTCAACGGACACGTCGAGTTTTCGCTCGTGTGCTTGCACGATAAGGAGGGATGGTGGAGGGGGCGGAGATAAGGACTCGGTAAGATCGATTTCTTACTTTTATAATCGTTTATTCTACGACCCTGGGCTGCCGGTTCGAGAGCCAAAGTCGATGTGTCAGATTTTACGATGAGAAAAGAGAGATGCCATTCGGAGGTGTGAGTCAGAACATGGCTATCAGCCTCAATTGAAGCCCTTTAATATAAGGAGGAGATTCGGAGCTTTTACTTTCATCTTTGGTTATCGAGAGCTCGAGGATCTTGAAAATATCTAGGAGATTACAAATTCTAACTGGCGTTTCTATATTGGAAACAAACAACAGGTACCGAACAAACGCCTTTCCACTCACATTATCATAACGTAAACATGAAAATATTTTTTACACAGAGATATTTTATACGAAGTATGTGCAAATTGTTAACGCGGGCCATTCATTCCTATATAACAATATAGTGAAAAGAAATATTACTATTGCAATTAAAGCTGGATGCATAATAATATTATTAAGTATGACAAAAAAAATCCATTTTATCCAAATTATTAATCAGCATTGACTAATAATAATACAAATTAAATGAAATATTTTTAATCGCTTTAAATAATAGAATAACAGTATTGCAAATAGTTAATTTTATGAGCCGAGGATAAAATTCTCATCAAATGGATGTAAATTCTTTTTAATTTGAACTCTTTGGTACATGTTTCCATGTAAAACTAATCACAACGTAGTAAATTCACATTTAAGAATAAGAAGCAGCCATATATAATAGTTTTACGTTACATCAAAATTTTTGAAAATGCAATTATTTTTATTGCAGATAAAAGAAATTAGTTGAGTATAAAAAAAGCTATTTTATCATTATTTGATTTTTCATCAAAAAAAAAAAAAAAAAAAACACAATCTAATAATTGGAATAATAATAATTTTACTAATAATTTTTTGCTTAATATTTGAATTTTTAATTAATTATGTAAGTGAGTCGTAACTCACCGTATAGTAAATACAATG